AAGTAGGGAAAACCTGGGCCTTCCAACTCCACCATGATACAATGCAAGGGGCCCCTTTGAGTACTTTAATGCAGGAATTATGTGTGGTCTGGCTAATGCTCTCCAAGGGCCTCTTCCTACTGCTTTTCCCCTCCCATGTCATGGCTGGCACTTGTCCATGGGTTTCAGCAGGTTAGGGTGTCTCAACTCTGTGCAGCAGATCTGCTCCTGGGAATGCCTTCCTGGCATAACACCTCTGCAGAAGCGAGTGCAGGGCTGCCTCTTGCCACCCGCCCCCTGCTGTGCTGGAGAGACTCTCTTTTAAGTCCCTCCTTCAACTGAAGCATGCCCAGGAGGCCTGTCAGGGCTTCCTGATCCCAGAGTTGTCCCACACTCTTAACTCTCCATTGTGGGTTTATTCATGCCATCATAATATCTTTAAAACACATGATATATTTTGCAGAAATATGTTGCTGTACAAATTTTCCCATGCCACACTGTTGTACAACATTCTGCATGCCTACTGGCTGCTATCCACAATACTTCTGTTCCCACAGAGAGGCTGCTGAAATACAGTGGTATTGGCAGTATATAGTTTGTGAATTGTTTTGGGATGTTATGTTGTTATGGTATGCTGCAGCCTGGCAGAATCATCACAGAAATGGGCACAGAACTACCGAGTGTCTCTTCACAAAAACTGGGTATCATAATGGAAAATAAAAGTATGATATGTTTCTCGCTCAAGATGATGGATAAGTAAGATTTTTATAACTGGGTCATGCTAAATTAGAAAAAATGTTTTACTAGAATATCTGTTAATATATGATGTATTCAACTGACAATTAAAAATAATGAATTCAACTTTATTGAAGTAATATTAATACAATATCACTCAATGCTGAATTTAGTTAAATGCATGTAATTAAATGGTGATTTAACCTGGTGTTAAATAGGTAAAAACACATCAAGATTTGGGATTTTTAATTTACAAGGTAAAAATGAGGGTGTTCCTTAGACTCCAGGGTTCTTCGTTATTTTGATGTTGTGCTTTCAGAAGCTTCAGAAGCGAAGAGGCCACAAGAGGAAGCGACAGTCCAGATACTTTCCGATTATGGAACTTATAAATTCCATTGAAAGCCAGTAGAAACTGAAAGTCCTGGACATTGTACATAATGCACTCTTAGGGACAACTGTTTTCAACAGTGAGAGGAGACATACTAGTGCACTGATACTCAGATCTCAGTGGTTCAGGAGCCAAATTAGTGACCAATATTGCTCCAAAGAGCGACAGTAATGTGAATTCATTATTTCATTTACTATTTTATATATATTATGCTTAAAGAAAAATGACTGAACAACTATTCTACAATTGGCTAGCATCCTGATTGTTTAATAACAGGTTGGTTAATAATTCAATCACAGTGTTTTAATATTATGCGCTGCAAAGAGCCACAGGAAGCACATCAAAGAGCCACTTCCCGCTCCATAGCTTCAGTCTCAGTATGAATGTATTAGTTCATTTTCCAAGACACATATATGGGTCACGTTTCAGAGTAGCAGCCGTGTTAGTCTGTATTCGCAAAAAGAAAAGGAATACTTGTGGCACCTTAATGACAGGTTTCAGAGTAACAGCCGTGTTAGTCTGTATTCGCAAAAGAAAAGGAGTACTTGTGGCACCTTAGAGACTAACCAATTTATTTGAGCATAAGCTTTCGTGAGCTACAGCTCACTTCATCGGATGCATACTGTGGAAACTGCAGAAGACATCATATACACAGAGACCATGAAACAATACCTCCTCCCACCCCACTCTCCTGCTGGTAATAGCTTATCTAAAGTGATCACTCTCCTTACAATGTGTATGATAATCAAGTTGGGCCATTTCCAGCACAAATCCAGGTTTTCTCACCCTGCGGCCTCCCACACACAAACTCACTCTCCTGCTGGTAATAGCCCATCCAAAGTGACCACTCTCCTTACAATGTGTATGAAAATCACAGTGGGCCATTTCCAGCACAAATCCACGTTTTCTCACCCCCCACCCCCCCCCCCAAAACACACACACACAAACTCACTCTCCTGCCACAGCAATGGTTCCCTCAACCCAACCAGCAATATTGTTAACCTATCCAACTATACTCTCAGCCCAGCAGAAGAAGCTGTCCTATCTCGGGGCCTCTCCTTTTGCCCCTCCACCCCCACGAACATGATACAGTTTTGTGGTGACCTAGAATTCTATTTTCGACGTCTCCGACTCAAGGAATATTTCCAAAATACCTCTGAACAACATACTAATCCACAGAGGCCTCCCTACCAAATTACAAAAAGAAGGATTCTAGGTGGACTCCTCCTGAAGGTTGAAACAGCAGACTGGACTTCTACATAGGGTGCTTCCACCGACGTGCACGGGCTGAAATTGTGGAAAAGCAGCATCACTTGCCCCATAACCTCAGCCGTGCAGAACACAATGCCATCCACAGCCTCAGAAACAACTCTGACATCATAATCAAAAAGGCTGACAAAGGAGGTGCTGTTGTCGTCATGAATAGATCGGAATATGAACAAGAGGCTGCTCGGCAGCTCTCCAACACCACTTTCTACAAGCCATTACCCTATGATCCCACTGAGAGTTACCAAAAGCAACTACAGCATTTGCTCAAGAAACTTCCTGAAAAAGCACAAGATCAAATCCGCACAGACACACCCCTGGAACCCCGACCTGGGATATTCTATCTACTACCCAAGATCCATAAACCTGGAAATCCTGGGCGCCCCATCATCTCAGGCATTGGCACCCTGACAGCAGGATTGTCTGGCTATGTAGACTCCCTCCTCAGGCCCTATGCTACCAGCACTCCCAGCTACCTTCGAGACACCACTGACTTCCTGAGGGAACTACAATCCATTAGTGATCTTCCTGATAACACCGTCCTGGCCACTATGGATGTAGAAGCCCTCTACACCAACATTCCACACAAAGATGGACTACAAGCCATCAAGAACACTATCCCCGATAATGTCACGGCTAACCTGGTGGCTGAACTTTGTGACTTTGTCCCTACCCATAACTATTTTACATTTGGGGACAATGTATACCTTCAGATCAGCGGCACTGCTATGGGTACCCGCATGGCCCCACAGTGTGCCAACATTTTTATGGCTGAATTAGAACAACGCTTCCTCAGCTCTCGTCCCCTAACTTGCGCTATATTGCTATATATACTATATTGCTATATTGTGCTATATATACTCTTCTTGCGCTGTATTGATGACATCTTCATCATCTGGACCCATGGAAAAGAAGCCCTTGAGGAATTCCACCATGATTTCAACAATTTCCATCCCACCATCAACCTCAGCCTGGTCCAGTCCACACAAGAGATCCACTTCCTGGACACTACAGTGCTAATAAACAATGGCCACATAAACACCACCCTATACCGGAAACCTACTGACCGCTATTCCTACCTACATGCCTCCAGCTTTCACCCTGACCATACCACACGATCCATCATCTACAGCCAAGCTCTGCGATACAACCGCATTTGCTCCAACCCCTCAGACAGAGACAAACACCTACAAGATCTCTATCAAGCATTCTTACAACTACAATACCCACCTGCGGAAGTGAAGAAACAGATTGATAGAGCCAGAAGAGTTCCCAGAAGTCACCTACTACAGGACAGGCCTAACAAAGAAAATAACAGAACGCCACTAGCGGTCACCTTCAGCCCCCAACTAAAACCCCTCCAACGCATTATTAAGGATCTACAACCCATCCTGAAGGATGACCCAACACTCTCACAAATCTTGGGAGACAGGCCAGTCCTTGCCTACAGACAGCCCCCCAACCTGAAACAAATACTCACCAACAACCACATACCACACAACAGAACCACTAACCCAGGAACCTATCCTTGCAACAAAGCCCGTTGCCAACTGTGCCCACATATCTATTCAGGGGACACCATCACAGGGCCTAATAACATCAGCCACACTATCAGAGGCTCGTTCACCTGCACATCCACCAATGTGATATATGCCATCATGTGCCAGCAATGCCCCTCTGCCATGTACATTGGTCAAACTGGACAGTCTCTACATAAAAGAATAAATGGACACAAATCAGATGTCAAGAATTATAATATTCATAAACCAGTCGGAGAACACTTCAATCTGTCTGGTCACGCAATTACAGACATGAAGGTCACTATCTTAAAACAAAAAAACTTCAAATCCAGACTCCAGCAAGAAACTGCTGAATTGGAATTCATTTGCAAATTGGATACAATTAATTTAGGCTTAAATAGAGACTGGGAGTGGCTAAGTCATTATGCAAGGTAGCCTATTTCCCCTTGTTTTTTCCTACCCCCTCCCCCAGACATTCTGGTTAAACTTGGATTTATGCTGGAAATGGCCCACCTTGATTATCATGCACATTGTAGGGAGAGTGGTCACTTTGGATGGGCTATTACTGCAGGAGAGTGAGTTTGTGTGTGGGGGGGCCGCAGGGTGAGAAAAAACCTGGATTTGTGCTGGAAATGGCCCAACTTGATTATCATACACATTGTAAGGAGAGTGATCACTTTAGATAAGCTATTACCAGCAGGAGAGTGGGGTGGGAGGAGGTATTGTTTCATGGTCTCTGTGTATATAATGTCTTCTGCAGTTTCCACAGTATGCATCTGATGAAGTGAGCTGTAGCTCACGAAAGCTTATGCTCAAATAAATTGGTTAGTCTCTAAGGTGCCACAAGTACTCCTTTTCTTTTTGTGGCACCTTAGAGACAAACATTTATTTCAGCATAAGCTTTCGTGTGTCGTCTTCAGGGACGCTCCTGGGGCAAGTCAGCTACTCTTCACTCCTTACTGAGGAGCAAAGACTTAATCTAGCCCCAAATGAGCAAAATAATTTCAGACTTTATTTATACTGCCTTTTATCCATCGATGATTAGCTGAAAAGAAACATCAGAATACAGAATACTAACATATAACAGTAATTCAAACTTTTTTTTTTAACAGATCTTGATAATGTTGAAGGCATAGCAGTGGACTGGATTGGAAATAATTTGTACTGGACAAATGATGGCCACAGGAAAACAATAACTGTAGCCAGATTGGAGAAAGCCTCTCAAAGTCGGAAAACTTTGTTAGAGGGAGATATGTCTCATCCGAGAGGAATTGTCGTTGATCCTGTCAATGGGTATGAAGTCATTTAATTTATTTTACTAGTTTTATTTTACTAAATTTGTCTCCAATATGAATACATTTAGTGTCAAATTCCCCTCTCTGACAAACACAGCCGCTCTTAGAAATTTGGGCTAAATTATGCATATTAAAGAAGCTAGCAGACCTATGCATTAAGCATTTGATTCACTGGTATTCTGCTGTTTTCCAAAAAGCACAGGGCCTGTGATGGGGCAGATCTCACCCCTGCAGCGCCTCTTGCTGGTCGTCCAGGGAATTAGTGTTTCCAGCCTCCGGAGCGCCCCCTGCAGGCCGGTGTCCCACCTGCCGCTGGGCCCCAAGTCCCTCCCGGACCCCGGTGCCCCTTTCATGCCGGGGTGCTGCCCCCTGTGTCTCCCTTCCGGGAACCCCGCACCCTCTATCCCCACCTTGCCTCAGTCTTTGGCTACTGCCAGTCACCATCTAGCCCCTGCTCCCTGGGGCAGACTGCAGTATAATTGCCACTCATCATCGGCAAGGAAGGTCTGGACCTGCTGCTTCTGCCTACCCTTGGGCTGCCATCTGCAACCCGAGTATCCTTTTCCTAGGCCTTCATCAAGGCCTGCAGCCTGGGGGTTTTTCAGGCCGGAGCTCCACAGATCCTCTGGCCTTTCCCCAGCCCTGCTCCATTTACGTACCCTGCTTAGATCCCAGCAGTCAGGCCCCTCTCTCTCAACATTGGGGGGAAGGGGGGGGGGAGAGAGAGAGAGAGAGAGAGAGAGAGAGAGAGAGAGAGACTGTGTCCTCCTGGCCCATTACCCTCTTATAAAGACCAGCTGGGCCTTGAATGGGGCGTGGCTGCAGCTGTGACTGTTTCCTCAATCAGCCAAGGCTTGCTGCTTTCCCTATCAGCAGCCGTCTCGCGGCCTCAGCCCTCTCTCAGGGCTGATTGCAAGCCCTTCAGGGCAGGAGAGAGTGACCCACCGCTACAGGGCCATATCATGCTCTCAATCTTACAGGTACAAATCCCATTGCTGTCTGTGGGAACTGAACACATGAATCAAGAACAAAATACAGTTTTAAATATTTTAATCCACACTTGTTTGTAAAACTGAGCATGGATTGGGTAAAAACAAACACTTTCCACAAAGTCTTATATTATTCATATTCCACTATCTGAAAAGGACAGATCTAGATCCAATTCAGTGAGCTTATCAATTGAATTTGAAAGGAATGGCATGCTCTTAAGTCTCCTCAGACATGCAACTAATAGGGCAATATCTAGCTACCTACATGTTTACACATTTTCCAGCTAACTCTTTATCCAAATGGAACACTATATGATGTGTGTTTGTAATAGTTTATGTAGGATCTTTGGCCCTGAATTTGATGAATGGATTACACTGATCCACAGAGACATTTTTTTTCATCTGTGACGGATATAACTTTTGGTAATAGTCTTCATAATACTTAACTGTCATAGAATGCCCACAGTGAAAGAACAAAAGAGGGAAAATTGGCATTTAACATAATTTCCCCTTTTCTGAAAGGCATGCCACTTACCATGAAATGGTGCAATACATGTTAATCAGGTGGTTTTGTACTGTATATTATCTATTTACTGCTCTATATAGGGACATAGGCACTATATCAGAATTGCCATACTGGATCAGACCCATGGTCCAGCTAGTCTAGTATCCTTTCTCCAACAGTGGCCAGCACCAGATGCCTCAAAGGAAGTTGCAAGAATCCCACAATGAGCAGATGTGGGATAATTCCTATTAGTTAGAGATTGGCTTAATCCCTGAAGCATAAGGTTGTCTTCTAATGACAGGTTTCAGAGGAACAGCCGTGTTAGTCTGTATTCGCAAAAAGAAAAGGAGTACTTGTGGCACCTTAGAGACTAACCAATTTATTTGAGCATGAGCTTTCGTGAGCCACAGCTCACACGAAAGCTCATGCTCAAATAAATTGGTTAGTCTCTAAGGTGCCACAAGTACTCCTTTTCTTGTTGTCTTCTAAAACTCTCTGTATGCAGGGACTGTTCTTATTTGTGTAAATGAACCATCCCTCTTTGAATCTTACTAATTCTTGGCCTCAGCAGCTTCATATGTGGAACATGATTGTAGCAGTCACAATTAGGATATGTTAAAATTAATATAAATTGGGCAAATATATCACTATTCTACTGTTACTGTAGCAGGAAGAGATCCTTTTAAATTTACTCAAGAAGATAATTTGCCCCTTCAGTATTACTTAAATCTAACAATGAGGGAGACCATATAGAGGTTTTTTTCATGCATTTTAAAGCTTTTTTTTATTTATTTTTTTTAAGAATGGAGTAATCCTATACAACTTCAGATTTTTTACCAAAGAAGTAGAGATAACATTTGCAATAAATGTCATCTTAGTGCTACCCTGTATTCTAAGGGACATACTGGTTACTAGGGATAAACAACAATGACAAAAACAAACAAGAACTGTTATAATGGCTTCAATAAAAAAACATCTGTAGATATTTAGATGTGTCATGCAAATGCAGTGCATTTGAAAAAGAAATCGCCATATATCAACCAAATTTGTATTTTAACACAACCTTTCCTCTCCCCTCCCACAAATCTCAAGTTTGTTATCTTATTGTACATTATAAAAAAGTACTTGGATACACTGGCTTAATAAATCCACAAGACAGATCATTTTAATTGCTGGCAAAATTATACAAAGTTGGCAAAATGACAGAAATGACCTTATGTTGATGCAACATTACTTCAGTGTATCCATGACCCAGTTGGCAAGACTGTTCTATGAAGTATCACTGGAGTGAGTCATCTAGATAATTCTAGTTTGGCTGAGCTGATTGCTATATTCCTAACACTTGGATTTATTTACATTATCAGTTTTTCATTTCCGAGGTTGTCTTTGGAAGAAGGCAAACTATTATAGGAAGGCTATAATTAGTTTGTCATATAGTAGTGTTGTAAATTAGACCCCAAATCATTCCAGTACCTGAAATTATTTTGTCAAATTTTCCAGCTCACTGATTTCTATCAGTTAAATATGCAGTACAGGAAGGTATTGCATGAAGATGCATTGTCTGAGAAGGGATAACATACAGTAGAGTAAGTAGTATATTGACCTAGTTGTTTGCTTCAGTCCTAGAGAGCTGGTGCACAGGTTTCACTGATTCTGTAGTGAAACTGAATATGGTTCCAGTCAGATTTATAATGCAGTATATAAGCCCAGGGCATTGAATTTGGTTTTGTCCTTCGCATTAAATTAAAGCAATAAAAACCTTCCTTTTCTATTATGAGCTGAAAGAGATAGAAAAGATTGAAGAAAACAGATGTTTACTTCTGTCATTTTTCAAAGCGATTCAAATTATCCTGGCACATTTTTCATTTAATTTCTTACCAATTTGTGATGTAAAATAAAATAGATCAGTGATATTTATTCCATATAGCTGGGTTGAATAAAACGGTTGCCTAGCAGACCAGAGCATCATTTCATACATTTGATGTAATCTAAGAATATGCTAAATAGGTTTGATAACAGAAGTATTGTTAGTGAAACATTTCATAACCCTGCTGGAAATGTAGTAATTTAAGAGCTAAAATTCTTGAGCTTTACTCTTTAAAATACAGGTAAGAATCGTAGACTTGATTCTGATCTCCCACCACTATAAATCAGAAGCAACTCCACTGTAGTTCGTGGAATTTAAAAGACACAAAACTGCTGTGAGATCAGTATCAGCACAAAGCCTAACTGAGTCTTAAAACAATATTCATAAACAGGTAATTAATATTTTTACTAATATAGTCAGAATGGAATTCTGCTGAATTTAAGATCCAAATACCATGGCATAGTTCCTAGAATACCCCTATTTGTGAGATTCCTGTCTTAGTACTTCTGGTATGTGCTTTGTGTAAATCTAAAGAAGCATGGCCAGTATATTAATTCTCTTACTTATATTCAATAGTGCTTATTAAAAAGTTAACATTTGCCAATGGCTACCAAACAGCGATACTGCAGATACCATAATGTTCCCTGTAATTATATACAAATAAAATTATGTTAAAAGAACATAATTAAGGTTGCAGAGTCAAGCACTCAAAAGTTAGGAAATGCCAGAATTCAGGGTGCCTGTGCAACCCCCTTGTGCGTATGCATTATGATACCATCTTTAAGTTCATAATGATATACTATTTCTTCCATAAGACCCCTGCCTCATTCAGTGGACAGTGCTCAGTTATTGAGCAGCGGTTCAATATTAGGTTTTCTTCTCATTGTTCATTGTGTGGCCCAATACCTTACTTCACATTATACAAGCCCTGCTATGAAAACAGAGTTATTAATTTCCTCATGGACTTTTCTGTGGCACTCATCACTATTGTATTTGAGTGCTTCACAATCATTAATCAATTTATTTTCACTATACACCCGTGCGAAGAGAGGATAGCATTATCCCCATTTTACAGATTGGAAACTGATGCACAGAGAGATTAAGGTCAAAAGCATCCACTGATTTTGAGTGCCCAATTTGAGACACCTAGAACCTGATTTTTCAGAATACTTAGCATAATAGAACGTTTTGTATGTTCAAGCACATTGACTTCAGTTGCAGCTATGAGTGCTCAGCACATTTTTAAATAGGACCCCAGGGTCTCAAGTCAGACACCCAAAAAATTAGGGACACACACAAAAAGTTTTCTTTAAGTGACTCTCCTACCCTCACATAGGAACTCTGTTAATGAGGGAGGAATAGAATCCCGTTCTTCTGGTCAGTATTCAACTGTCTTAACCAAGAGATCATCCTTTCTCTTCCTCCAATACCTTGCTTCATTCACTGTACACCTTCCAACTTCAAATGAAGGAGCGGTCAACAACCTCCTTTGCTACTGAAATCTGAGAACATCTCCAGAGTAGGTCCATCCTGTGCACTATAGTATTTGATTATATAATTAGAGACTGCATATGCACAAGGTGCCAAATTAATGTTTGACGGGTAACCTTAAGTCTAGCATTTCCTAACTTCAGTGCTTGACTTAATAACGTTCTTTTAACATTTTTTCTTTCTTTTGTGAGTGTGTGTGTCCATGTGTGCGTGACATCCGAAGTTCTTAAAAAAGGCAAATTGAAAAATCAGAAATTCTATCATGTTTTTTGCCACCTACATGGTTCACCAACGGGGTTGTACTTTTAGAGTCACCATTCAGACTTCTTCCACTTGAGCTAATGGAGTAACTGATAGCACTAGTAGGCTGTCATCCTCTATGCGGATCAGTACTACAAAGGGATGGGAAAATTTGCTAGTGGGTGTCAGACATTTGCTGACAGCAGAAGAATGTTTAGACTCAGGAATCTTGGGTTCCACCACAGGAATTGGAGGGTTGAGCACAGACACTTCTGCACATTTCCTGCAAGTGTGATCCCCTTCTGCCCCTTACAACCTGTCCCTTTCCCAGTCCTGTCTCTTCCCCCCTTCATCCAAATCCCATTATCTTCACCTAGCTAGTTCCACTATCCACTCCTCAAACCTCTCATCCAGCAAGTTTTAGTCTCACCTCTCCACAGGGAGTCTCCCCCTTCCAGTCCCAGTCGCTTGTCCTGCTCCCAGTTCCAGTTTCCTTGCTCAGCCATTCCCAGTTCTGCCCCTTCCGACTCCTCATCCATTCTGTCTCCCAACCCTGGCCTCCAGTCACCCTCACTGCTTCACCTACATTCTTTATCCCCACAAGCTCACACTCCTAAACTCCCTCCCTCCAATCTCAGTGTGTCTCCTCCCAGCTACTTGTCCCAATCTCTTTGCTCAGCCAATCTCAATTCTCTCTCCTCACCTAAGTTCCTCTTCAGATCCATCTCCCTCACTTCTTTTCCGTCACCCTGCTTGTTCTCAGTCTCAGATGTCCTCTGATTTTTCATTTGATCTTACCCTCTATCCTCTCTGCAGGTCCAGCTTTTGTCTCTTCTGCCTTCAACTCAGGCAGCCTCCTCCTCCAGTCTGCCTGCACCCAATTGTGGGTGAGTGGCATAGAGAGCATAGGAGAAACAGCCTCCTTGCTCTCACTTTAGATATACAGACTCTGCATGACCCACAGCAGCCCAGAGCTGCAGTTTTAGGGAAAGTCTTGCTCAGCCCTGGGCTAGGGCATACTCAGTGCAGACAGAAACTTCGGGCAGTTTAGCTGTTCTCTCCAGAACATGTGTGAACTTCAAGTTTTAAAGGCTTATAATTTGGTCAAATTTGGGTGGATTTTCACAGGGACAACAAGAGGCACGTACGTCCCTGACACACAGGCTACACCATGTCAAATTTCAAGATTCTACTCCAAAGCATGGGAGCAGTAGGGCTTTTCAAAGAAAAGGTTGACAGACATTTTTAACATGGACAAAATATATTTTCCCCTAACCTTGTTCTGAAAAATGGCTGAACTCATGGCAGAAATTTTCCCAAAACATTCAGCATGAGGCAGACATTCAGGATGGAAAATTTCAATCCAAACTGTTTGACAATGTGTTAAGCAACTGAAAACAGGGTCTTACAATGCGAAGTGTCAAGCAACCTTAATAATAGTCAGCCTCATCCTATAATACCTGCGTGATATATTTTGGCAAATGTTCATTTTTTAATTGTAGCCACTTTATAAAACAAAGTAGTTAGTTTTTTTAAAATAGTTCCATACTTATCTATTTTTGTTTGACCAGTCCCACATTAAAGGACCTTCAAAGTGTTCAAGAACTGTACATAGTCCATCTTTTTCCCCCAGAAGAAATGATGTTGCAAATTTTTCACCTTTTTTTTTTTTCATTTTGCCAAATTTGTGTCCCGGGAGTAAACTGCAGTTATAAGGCACAGTACTGCAAGGTGATGAGCACTGTGATCCCTGCATAGAAAAGCACTTAAGCGCATGCTTCACTTGAAGTCCCACTGAAGTCAAAACTACTCAGGTGTTTAAAGTTAAGCATGTGAGTAAGTGCATTTCTGAATTGGGGCCAGGGTGATAAGCACCTTGCCAGATCAAGTCCATATTGTACTACTGAAGATGTTTACATTCAAACAGCAGCTAATTTGTAGAGTCAATCAATAAGAAGGCTCTGATCATTTAATTCCAGCAAAACATATATAAATGAAAACCCTAAAATACTGTTTGAAAATAATCTTCTATTTTATAAAAATACAAACGTGTTTGGTTAAAGGAGTTGTGTGGTAGTAAGGGAGCACTAAGGCACATACTTTGTGCTGCTGCTATTGGAAAAGTATATTAGCTGACTAAAGAAATGTACACAAGTCCCTTGTATTCCAGGAAAGTGGTAAATTCAAGCGAAAAATAAATATGGCCTACAAATATCCTAAATGAAAATGGGAAATATAACCAGTGCAACAAAAGCAGATACATTCAGCAGCCAGTATATGACTGATGGAAACTTAGAGTCTTTGAATACAAATAGACAAAAACAGCCTACGGTTTCTTTTTCTTTCTAACAATCTGTATAAGGTATAAACCAATCACAATATTGTTTTAAGTAAGTCATCAGCTTTTAATATGTGATAGAAGTAGTATTCAAAGTGTCAAGGTCACTTAACCTCCAGTTATTAAACTTGTGTGCAGTCAACTTATCCTATGTGGAGCTTTCAATAGTGTTAAGCAGCAATAGAGAAAAGCAGATACTTTGCATCAAGAAGACAAAATAGACTTGGCCAAATGATCCCAATACAATTCTGCCCTTTGGAACAAAGTCAATCCAATTCCTGGTCTTAAAAAAAATCATAATTGCTGAGATTAAATAAAGTCTCTAGCAGCTCATTAACGGTACTCTGACTTCTCGTATCAGTCATCTCACTTTTTAATCACATAATTGATTATATTCTCTGTGTATAGAATAGTAGTTTAATGACACTGAACCAGAGGGATTTTTTTTCTTTGCTGTAAATGCTGCTATTCATTTGAAGAAATCAGCAGGTGTCATTCATGCAAAAGCCTAAAGCAAACTGCAGTCATATGAAGTTACAAACTTTTTGTTGAAGGCCTTCTAAAATATAAATCAGATAGTTCAAATAATATCTGAATGCTTTTATTTATAATTTCATAGCTGGATGTATTGGACGGACTGGGAGGAAGATGAAATAGATGACAGTGTGGGAAGAATCGAGAAGGCATGGATGGATGGCTACAGCCGGCAGATTTTTGTGACATCAAAGATGCTGTGGCCAAATGGTTTAACTCTGGACTATCATACAAATGTATTGTACTGGTGTGATGCCTATTATGATCACATTGAAAGAATATTTTTGAATGGAACTGACAGAAAGGTAAAAGAAAAATGCTGCTGTTTTGTCCACAGGCTTCCGCTTTCACTGAATCATACTGTGTTGTGTTAAAAATATTTTTCAATGTTTTTTCCCCCTCCGCTCCTGCAGGGCTGCTGTAAGTAGACCCTGTGGGGTGCCTGGCATAAGCTCCATTGAAAACAGTGCAGTTGGCACTCTATTGTAGGAGAACATGGCATGGCCTGACGTATTTTTCTTAGCTTTAGAAGCAGTGATGCAAAGGTGTGTTTTTTCAATCCAGTTTTCCCATGTAGCTGTGAACTGTGGTGTGATTGAGCCACCAGGCTACAGAGACTTCCAGTGGAGACAAATTTAACACAGCTCCTTCTGGCTCTGCCAGCGGGAGCCTTCTATTGGGCTCACCTGATGAAACATTTTTTCATGGACTGCGTAGGTCAGTGCTTGAGACGCTGTTACAATGTTCAGGGGACACACACTAACGAAGTCCAGCCACTGGATTATGGAGCTTGCTTATTGATTTAGCCAGCTTCACCAGCTAGACACATAGATTCTGTGGCCTGAAAGAACCATTATGATCATCTAGTCTGATCTCCTGTGTAGCACAGGCCATAGAACTTCCCCAAAATACTTCCTTGAGCATATCTTTAAAAAAAAAAAAATAATCCAGTCTTGATTTAAAAATAGTCAGTGATTGAGAATCCACTATGACCCTTGGTAAATTGTTCCAGTGGTTAATTACTCTCACCATTAAAAATGTACACCTTATTTCCTATCTGAATTTCTCTAGCTTCAATGTTCAGACCTCCACGATGATGAGTCCCTATTTACAGTTTCTGAGACCTATCAGTTAGCCAGTTTTTAATCTATTTAATGTGTGCCATGTTCATTTTATACCATTCTAGGTTTTTAATCAAAATGTTGTGTGTGGTACCAAATCCAATGCCTTACAGATTTCTAAGTATTATGTTGGCATTATTATCTTTGTCAACCAAACTTGTAATCGCATAAAAAAAAAAGGTTTCAGAAGAACAGCCGTGTTAGTCTGTATTCACAAAAAGAAAAGGAGTACTTGTGGCACCTTAGAGACTAACCAATTTATTTGAGCATGAGCTTTCGTGAGCTACAGCTCACTTCATCACGAAAGCTCATGCTCAAATAAATTGGTTAGTCTCTAAGGTGCCACAAGTACTCCTTTTCTTTTTATAAAAAGAAAGATATCAAGTTAGTGTGATAGGATCTCTTTTCTATAAATCAATGTTGATTTACATTAATTACATTACCCTCCTTTAGTTATTTATTAATTGAGTCCCATTATCTTTCAAGGCTCAATATCAGGCAGACAGGCCTGTGATTACCTGTGTCATCCTGTTTTTAAAAACTGGCAGAACATTAGCTTTCTTCCAGTCTTCTGATACTTCCCCAGTTCTTCAAGACTTATTTAAAATCAACAGTAATGGTCCAGCGAGCTCCTTAAACAAGTGTTGCAAGTGTTGCAAGACTTAAAAATGTCTAACTTTAGTAGCTTTTCTTTAACTTCCTCAAGAGATACTAATGGAATGGTAAGAGTGTTATCATCACCATCTGATGAGACTCCGTCGTCTGCGTTTTCCCCAAATGCAGAACAGGAATATATATTGAACACTTCTGCCTTTTCTAAATTATTATTGTTAATTCTACCATTTCCATTTACTTGGAAGTTGTCAGACACAATAAATACTTTGTTATTTTAGAAGTTGCTGGAGGAAGTGGCAGTGACTCAGTGGTCAAGGGCACAACACCCACTTGTGGAAACCTGTTCCAAAGCCTAATAGTTTGTTGTGAAATTCACCTTATCTATCTAAGGATGGAAAAGTGAAATTCAACACATAAAACTGGGAGCAGGGCATTCCCCTCAATAGCCACTGCTTCAGATTATGGGATGGAATAACACACACAGACTGTCTGCACCCTTGAGCAGAGTGTGAGGGCCACAGGATCTACACAATCACAAATCCTGTGATCTCTGGTCTGACCCTTGCTGATTCAACCCTATGTGCTAGCCTACTTGGGACCAGTATGCAGACTCCTACATAGCACGGAGCAGTTGTGGGAACTACCCTTGTGTACATGGTTGCTCCATTGGTGCTTCCTCCTGCATAACCTCATTGTGTTGCTTATGTGATGCCAAAACATTTGTGCATATGCATTTGCTTCAGTTCTGTCTTCTTTGTGCCATTCCAGCAGTGTCAAGGGGTTGGTGACTTGCTCCAACAGTATAGCTAGGGAAGCTCTTTTATGCTTTTTCTCCCTCCCCCAGCTCCACCGCCTGCCCCATCACAAAGGACATGTTGGGGGTAGGGAAAGCATGGTCATAGAGCCTTGCATCCTACCAATCCTGGGTTAACAGAAAAACTCCTAGGAAGTCATTGCAGCTGGTAAAGATTGGACTTGGTTGTTCTAACTTTTACTGAGGGCTGAATTGGCCTCTGCCCACCACCTAGTTTGGGAGTCTGCAATGGAGCATCTCCCTCTGCAGGCCTTGTTCTGAATATAGCTTGGCTGCACTCAAAGATCTCTCTCATTCTTTTTAAAAGTGTTGTTGATACAATTAAGATTTGGATGAAATGTTTGGTTCTTAAATTGTCATTTGGTAATTACCAGGTACACTTACCTTTTGTGTTTGGTAGTAAGTATTTTAACATTAAATATGGCAGATTATGGACTAAATTCAGAATTGGAGTAAGTAAGTGCATATTCAGCAAACTTACACATTTTCCTTGTGTGACAGTACAGTGGGGAATTAGAGCGGGTAAAGAAGACTACACAGATCCACCAGTAGGGATGGTTTAAAATTATGTGTTGAAACTGTGTTTTTGAGGAAAATTTAGCTTTTGTAGTTGTGAAAATGAATGCTTGAAAATCCAAATATTTTGATTTGGAAATGCTGCACATGAGAATTGCCCTTTGATAATGCCTTATCTTCCCATTCTTCTCTATTGGTCAGGCTACCCAATGAACTACGTTTTCTATGAAGCTGGATGGCCAGGGACTTCCATGATGCACTGCTTTCCTTCTCCAAGAAGGGAGACAGTGGTGCATCATGGGAAATGTTGCCTCACAAGAGCATTCAGCCGATAGAGGAAAATGAGAGCTTGAGGAACCCAAACTACAATTCTCATGAGGCACTGTAGAGGCAATAACAAAAGGAAATATTTGGGGGTTTGGCCATAAATTTTGGTATTTGAATTTCTGCCAAAAGTCAAAATTTAGTGTTGAAAGTTTAGATTTTTTTTTTCATTTTCATCAAAACTTTACAGAGGAAGAAAACCCAAGTTTTTTAACTGCCTCTATATGGGGCAGTCCCTTTTATGTGAGGAGCTGCATTTATCACCAAGGCAGATCTGAGACTGGAGTAGTGGCTGTGAAGTGAGTTTTACAGCAACTCTGCAGCCTCTGTACTGGAGATAAGATTTTACACATATTTCCAGTGACTAGGTAATCATGGAAGATGCATTTAATTTGAACGGTTGCCTTATTTCAGGGACCATGATGTGTATTCTCCTCCAACTTCAATAACTCAGTTCCATTTAACAATAGTGAGAGTCATGACTGTGGGTCACTGGAAGAAGATAAATAACTGAGTGATATACCAATGGCACCCATAAAGCCACATGGTAGAACCTCAAAACAAAAAAAGGATACATGTGCATTATCAGAGTAGGGCCTCTTATTTAGAGTGTATTTAAATGTCTGAAAAACATTTGGGATATTGGAATATCAAGTCAATTAGAATCAAACTTTGATTGTACTGTATGTTATGAATAAAATCTCTGTGTATGGACAGAGTTGCTCATTTCTGAGCTTTCTGACTTCTCTTCCCAACTCTGACATATATACTAAAACATTTCAATTCTGACCAATATTCAGTTCACATTATTTAATTGCAGGTAGTCTACAATGGGAAGGAGCTGAATCATCCTTTTGGGCTATCACATCATGGAAATTATATTTTCTGGACAGATTATATGAATGGCTCTATTTTTCAGTTGGATCTGATGATGAGGAATGTGACACTACTAAGAAGTGAGAGACCACCTCTCTTTGGGCTTCAGATCTATGATCGCTACAAACAGCAAGGTATTGACAATATGTAACTTCTTTACAAGGTTTCCCACTAAACAATATTTCACAATAGTTATGTATACTGAATATTTTTTCACGCTTCCTCAATGTTTGGAGGAAAATAGCTGGGTTCAAAACCAATGAAAATACTCATAAAGATCTAAAGATATTTCATGAGGTTTCAGCCCCTTATAGGATCTTAAAATTGATCATCTCCTTGCTCCTACCTGCCAACTACATTGACTCACAATATTATACCTAACTGCAGTTATTGGATGTGTGTTCGCACAGTCTTTGTGGACTGCCAGTTTTTCCATACATGAGAAAGGAATCTTGAAATACAATACATAATACATATTTTTTTGTTCAATCCATAGTGAAGATATTGTTGTAGCTACCTTTTCTCAATGGCTGGCAAGACCGGAAACATTTTCTGTCTTTTTTTCTTTTGTAATTTTCTTCTCCTTCTCCTTGATCTTTATCGGCTCCACCACAGCACAATTCAGTGGCTCAGTCAGCTGAGACTGCAATTATGCTTTGCTGTGCTGTATTGATTGACCAGTAGGGGGAGGCATACAGCACAATTTAAACCAGAGGAGAAGTTTTCCTCCTGAAATAAAAGGTCAAAGAGAAAGAACATGGATATGGTTCAGATAATGTGATTCCTAGCTCACAGTTTAGTTTATAATTATGTTCAGTGAAGAAATGACTTGGGTTCTCATTACTTGTCTACAAGACAAAGCAGGGATTATTGTAAGAGCAAAATAGAGCAAAATATGAAATACCAACCCAGACATAGATTTAGTTGGAGCTTAAATAGCAGAAACTCAGAACTGAGAACCCCTCCAAAGGATAGTTACAGTATAACAAAATAACAGTATCTGGTATAGTTTTAGATACAAATATGAACTTGTGGAACTGTTTGATCAATACATTGGGAATGTGTGTAATGATCTTCAAAAGAACAGAATCAGACAGGGCTATCATTCTTTGTCTGGAATAAAAGTAGAATAATGCTTCCAGTTTCCATAGAAGATCAAAGTCTCCCACATGGCGGCTCATCTGTTTAATCTTTTCTATGAGGCATTCAATATAATTTTCAAGCATAACTGAACCTAAAATGAAATGAAATGCTGTAACATTCATCTATGTGTTAAATGTCTGTATATTATGCCTATTGATTATTATACTATGGCTCTAAAATAAGTCTTGTTCAGCCGCAGATAACATATTAAGTTAGTGACTGTTACAGTTACTGAAACCAGTTACAGGCTGATTGTACCTCTGTCCCTTTACTGGTCTCTCTGAGTAAACCCCCCTCAGATGTTAAGCCTCATGCCTTTACCTGTCTTGCAGTGGAATTTCTTAATCTCGATATAATGCCCCATCAAACTCAGTTGCTTCTTATCATGCAGATCTGGCTGGACACCTGCATTTCTTCCTTTGGGGGTTTCTGACCAGTGATATAGTGACCAACAGCCTTCTTAAAGTTAGTATGTCTATTAGAAAATGGAACAAAGCGTTAGAGAAAATGATTTAGAAACAACAAACAGCCTACCAGAACATTTATAGTCTCATCTGATCTTACACTTCACTACAAGCTAAGTTAGATGGGCTTTTCTCTTGAGTTACAGGAAAAGAACAGACTGAATTTACATTCTTTTAGGAAGTCAGGGTGCTCTCAGGACCCTTCCTGATCCTATTTTGTCTTCCAGAAAATATCTCTTCTATTCTGATCCCGCATTTTCTCAAAGCCCCACTGTCCTTGTGTATGCCAGGGCCCAATTACTGTATTGATGAATTATTTTTGTGACAGGACACCAAAGTATGAAGTCTTCTTTATGTCTTAGACTAGTGTTTCCCACTCTGCTGGTGAGGTTATCTAGAAGAGGTCCTATGTGACAACAGCTCCATTGTTTGGCATTTAGACCCATTCAGCCTTAATGGCTTTCAATCACTAGTCCTGTGTGTGTGTATCTGTGTGTGTGTGCTTAAGTTGTCTTTTCCCCTCTGAGACATTCCACCACACCAATTCAGAAATTCAATCCATAGACCATATTTTGGGATACATTTACTACCAAGTGCCATCACATTTGTCACACAGTGTTCAAGACTATCAGCTTTTGAGTAACTGTCCATCCCTTAGTCCAGGCACTTTTTCAAGTACTTCCAAAGTCATGGACCAAGATGGTTCAAGGCTTTTTCTAGTAATGTAGACTATAAAATTGAACACAGTTACCTAAAATATGGATGGAGTAGATTTTGAGTCAGAATTTCAAAAGAGCTCAATGCTCACAGTTGGAAACAGGGTTTCAAAAGAATTTAGCACCCAACTACTTACACTGAAAGCAATGCCAATATAGGAGCTATTGTTTGCTGAGCCCTTTTGAAAATGTGGCTCATAGTTGTTGCATAGTTCATGGTACATATATGTTGCATGTATGTAATAATATCAATAATTTAAGCAAATAATTACATTAGGTTATTATCAAGATAAAAATACAATTGGATATTTGATGAATTCATTTCTATCTATCCACTTATCTATATCTACCATATAGATGCTATATGCTGTTTAGCTTACACATCTTTGACTATATTTGACACCATTAGGCTTGTGGTAAGGCACAGGCTAACATAATCATGCAAATATAGAGCTGAAGGAATTGCTCACTAGTTGTAAATACTTCAGTGTAGCATTTGAATAAGAGGATTAACCCAATACATATTACATAATAAAACATTTTTATATGTGTACTACAAATTGGATGCAAGGTAACTGTGTCATTATGACTTTAGAACATAGCCCCATTTTTACTGAATTAAAATGGAATCCTGCCCTACTTTGGATCTTATGCAAAATTTCAGCGCAGCAGTTAAAAACTAATGCAAATGTTAGAAACAGGATAATCATTTTAAAAGCAGTAAATGGGGAGGCAATGTCAGAAAATAAAAGCTGTCTTGAAAAAGTCTGATTCTTGAAATGCCTGGTAGCTGAACAATAAGGGTCTTGGAAACAGTTCACAGCTGATGCCACAGAACAGACCAATTTCTGCATTGTATTACTGTTTCATGAGAGATTGCCAGCCCAGGAGTCTCTTCAGCAATTCCATTGTCATCCTTTCTTTGAATACTTGCTTAGAATTATTTGATATGTCTTGTCATTTAGGCTACCACTGATTTAATCCCCTATATTTAATCCTCTATATGCATTAACCTTGAAACCTTTAACTTGAATCCGAATCTAGCCATTTACTTTAATTTGGATGTCTGCTTTAGGACACCCCACTGGAATAAAAAGAGCAGGGTTGCAGGCTGAAGTACTTCAGAGCCAGACTGTGTCTTTTGCCTTTCCCCACTGTTTTGTGACTACCCTTTGGGCTGATCACCCTTCTCGTTCAAGTGATTATCTGAGAAACTCACTCTCATATCAAAAATGTTCATGTATTGTTTCTCTTGCATTTTTATAAGCCTTAAAATGGCTGTTTTATTACAGTTTGTATTTGTTTTCATGACTTTTGATATTCTCTTTGATCTCTGTGTTAGTTGGGTTCATTGGTTTGAACAATGAGTGACCCTGTAAAGATTTTGAAAGTCTATTGAGTTAACATTCCTGAGGTTCAGATGCTTATCCAAAATGTGTTCTGTTCTTCTTTTAGCTGGAAATATTATGAGATTAGGTTGTATTCAGCACTTTTCAGTACTTTTGATTTTGGCTGGTGTAGCTGTAAAAATGGAATAGTCTTTCACGCAGTATTTGGATATTTGTCTTTGAGTCCCAAATAAAGCTAGGAGGTTTAGACCTTAAGCTTTCTGAGTGAAGAACTTGTTTTGAAATTGGAGAGATTATCAAATGGAGAGAACAGGGTGGATCAGGCCCAGAAGGTTTAAGTGTACATTATTTTTTTTTTTACATTAACCAAACATTTTTCAATCCTCAAAACTAGTTTGGTTCATTTTGCTGTTGAGTGACAGTTCTGATAATTTCTGAGGACTTTTGCAATTGTTTATTTAGCATTTTCTATTAAACACACAAGTGAAAACATTATTGCTGGTGTAAGAAGAAAGAAGAATGGAGGGAAAAATATCATTAGGTATAAAACGCTTGGCATTTACATCTTTCTAATCCTTCCACAGGAATGATACATCTTATTGAGCAACTGTCATATCAGGATTTAATCGTCACAGCGACCAATGTAATTGGCAGTTTTTCTGGTTCACCTTTGGGCTTCTCAAGGAGAACTAATGATACAAAAGAACTGCCTTTCCACCTTAGTTTCTGTTTGTCATATATGACTATCGAACTACGAAAAAAATGACTGTAGATACTTTGGTTCATCTGCCAGGGAATGTCATTTGTCAAAAGGTAGATAAAGGTTAAATCAGTGCCAAGATTTTTGTCAGCTTCTATTATATCCACTTCTCATTAACTACAATGCCCAAAATCTTACTGTAACACTAATCTGAATTTGGAAGCTTTTTTTCTTTTTCCTATGTTGTCAGCCATCTGGATGCCTTTAATATTGTAGGTGTGATAAAAGATTTCCATACGAACTAAATAAGGCAGATATCCTTTAATAATTATAATACAAGCAAATCTGTTGGTTCAGGGATAGTTTTTATTGTCAATGAACTAGCTTATCTTACCTGCTCTTTTTTCTCATGATTGATTTATTATTTATAATCCAATTTTCTAATTATTTTATTTCCCAGTGTAACACTAAGACAATCCTTGATTGTCATAATCAGTCAGAGCAGAAAGATATTCCCTAATTTGCGTACATAAATCTGGACAAACCTAATTTAATTTTGGAAATTTAGGTTTTTATCAGACAGATTTCAGAACAATATCTCTTGACATTAGAGTGTAAAATTTTAACCGTTATCATGACATAAAAGAAAGACTAAAAGTAATCAACCTTCTTTGAGTAGCTATTCATATTCATACTTTGGGTTTTGTGCTGCGTAGTGGTGCCTAATGGCAGAATGGTCTCCAAAGAGTGTCCGTTAAAGCA